TGCAAGACGTGGGTCCTATTGTGGCCAAAAGAGTCTGCTTTGTCTGGAGGCGGCCGGGAGCACACCCACGACCATGCAGCCTTCGCAAGGTATGAACATCAGCACCCCACCTACCCAATTAGCATCGCCGGTCGTGCTGGATGATAGCGGACTGGGTGAGGTAGAGGCTCCATTAGTCGTTGATGACGTTGCCATAGATGAGGATGAGGATGACGATGACACTCAACAGTATCTCAATACTGGCGCCATTGATGACGGAGGATTGATGGCTCAGCAGTATGAGTACTCAGGGTTTGAGCATCATCAGTCGGTGCCTAATCGCCGCCTCCGAAGCCTGAACGTACTGTAGACGACCTTCGTCCAAAGAAGCATCGGAAGAGAGCGAGGAAAAGCAGCAATAAAGCTGCTGCTATGATCCAGCCGCCTCCGCAGCCTCGGGTTCAAGACCGTACACCTATCCGTGGTGCGGTGAAATACCATATCCCCGGTCAACCAATCCTACCCGAGGCATCGGTACAGGTCATACACGGCGATCTAAGGAGACTTCATGATGATGTGCTGCGGAGAGAGAAAAGCCTAATCGCCTCGGAAAATCCAGGATACCCACTCTACGTGGTTAACGTGCCGCAGAAAAGGTTGTACATCGACTCATTACCCGCGGACAAGTTCTTCCTTCGATTCGATTACATCTTCGACATGTTTCACTTGAAGAAGCTGGATTTTATGTTTGTCTGCCTTTATGCCTTGTACATGAAATACATCATCGGGATTGAGCAGATACCTTATACCTGTGTCGCTGACCCATACTTCATGCACGAGAGCTTCTTGGCAGTCTGTGCAAAGCACCATGAATACGCGAGGGACTACATCGACAATTTCATGGTCGCCAAATAAGAACAAGGAGACGATTCTCGTGCCTTATCATCCCCTGTAAGTCATCCGTGCGGATATCCTTCCTTCGATTTCAATCATTCATTTGCACGATGGAGGCTAATTAATTTGAGGTGTACTTATTTTGCGCAGCCACGGGCGCGCCGTCCTCATCATCCTTTACCCCCGATACTCCCACGCTCTTTACTTGGACTCGTTGAAGAACATGAACAAAAAGGATTACACCCACATCAAGTCTGTTCTTGACAGTGCTATCTTTTTCTAAAACATACGGGGTGGAGAGATCAAGGACAAGAAGAAGAGGAGCGGCAGGCCCGCCTTCGGCCATAAGACCGACTTCTGCTGCATCCAGCAACCGAGTGATACTCTTAGTGATGGATTCTATGTCCTACACCACATGCTGGAGTACAGATGGGATCAGTAGAACCTTCGCATGTCACCTACATCCGAGGATGCCCATATTCTGCAATGGGCAAGGAACGTAGGCGATATCGAGGATCATCAGCTTCGAGCTGAGTTCTATCACATCCAGCGTGAACTCGCCCAAATCATCATGAAGGTGGTTGTCGGTGTCAAAACCGTCGGATCTCGGGTAGGGTGTCCCAAGCAGTGCGTCTTAGGATCAATGGTAACAGGAGGCAAGGGACACAATGTTTACCCAGGTTCGGGCCCTCTCGGTGGAGGTAAAACCCTACTCCTGCTTGATTAATATTGATGATATGGGTAGTACAAGAGTTGATCTACCACGAGACCAGAGAGGCTAAACCCTAGAAGCTAGCCTATGGTATGATTGTTGTTGTATATGTCTATCGACTAGCCTGGCCCCGGTTTATATAATGCACCAGAGGCCTAGGATAACAAGAGTCCTAGCCGAATACGCCGGTGGGGGAGGAGTCCTTGTCTTGATCGCCAAGTCTTGTGGATTCTTCCTTGTATGCGGCAGCTGTCCGGACTGGCCCATGAGTATACGACCATGGGGGTCCTCGGCCCAATCCAACTGATCGGGAGACGACGCGTTGAGTACCCCCTAGTCCAGGACACCGTCAGTGGTCCTCGAAAAACAGGGTTGTTCTATGAGGAAGGGTAAATGTCGTGGGAAGACGTCCGAACATGCATAGCCGCTCAGCGTCTCGACCTGAAGCCTTTCACTAAGCTCGGGGACTATCTCCCTGACTTGGATGGATGGCACGACATGTTGTGATTGCCGATATATGACAATGTGTCCGTTTAGTCCATACTTTATGTATGACAAAACTTTGAGTTATGCATGACGAAACTTTATTTGTGATGTAATTAAACTGTCCTCCTCGACTAGCGAAGATCACTCTAGTTAGGGCATTTTGGGTACGATGAACTTTGTTATTTATGCTTATGATATGTTGCTTCTATTTTTGCCAAGTCTGTCTCTTTCTGTTGCTCAACTATATATGTTGCATATCATCGACTCATGTGACGATGCAGGTGCATATATTATCGATGGCAAAGAAGTGCTACGCCGGGAGTATACGATGAGTGGCCGAAGTGTCAAGCCCAGGTGTACCAGTTTCCGGTTTCCGAGCTATAGCCAGTAGTTAGTTTAGGTTCACGCTAGTGCGAGAGAGGGATAGCTCTTCTTGCGTATATCATTGTTTAGATGGATGTCAATGTAGTTGCAAGAACTTGTAGCGCTATTTTCGAGATGATGACGAGAGACCACTTTGTGTTGGATGATGATTATGATGATGACATGATTTGATGCTATAATTACATTTGTACGTGTATGATGCTAAAGATTATTGTGTAAGCATGTTCAAATACAAAACAAATATGCAGAAAAAAACAAAAACTAATAAAACTAACAGTAGCGAGGGGAGTAGAGTTAGCAGCAGCGCACCCTTACCAATAGCGCCTCCAAATTTAAAGCGCTACAGATATTAGCAGTAGCGCTTCGTCCAAAAGCCCGTTGCTGCTATATATGTATAGCAGTAGCGTGTGTCAGCACGCTCTACTACTACATGTTAGCTGTAGCGCCGTATCAGTAGCGCGGTTCCCTGCGCTACTGATACATCTAATACGCACGCTACTACAAGGCTTTTCCCTAGTAGTGTCTCTCGGTGGTCTTGGCCTTGGGGAGGGCGAGCTTGGTGCAACGAGCAGGGGTGGCTGGCAGGCCACAAACAGGGGAGAGCACGGCGGCGTCCCCGCATTGCCAACAACTAGGCTGACCGCCGGGACAAAGATCGGGGTCACCGGCTCAGCTTCAGCTTCGGAGGAAGGAGATGGAGCAACAGCTCCACTGTCTTGCGCTGCAGGACAGGACATGATGATCTCGATGATGTCCAGGGTCGTGGTACGGGGAGGTGTTGGCGTCTGTGGAGCCAGAGCAGGGCACACAGCTGCCTGTCGTTGGTTGGCTCCAAAACAGGGAGCGATCCACCGCAGCCAAGAGCCCTCTCCTAGCACGGAGGTGAGCTGAATCACATCACAGGAGGTCGATCGTGGCGAAGAAGGGGCGAGCGGCCACGGGTGTATTCGCTGACCGGGCTAGCAGCCCCTCCAGAGCGCCCAGGGCGAGCCGGGCAGTCCGCAACGCGGCGACGGCCGTGCCTACCAGAGGCTGGGATGACGGTGCCGTCCTGGAGGCGCTGGACCAGCTTGATGTCGATGGAGCACGCATCAGGGGCCTCGTGGCGGCGGCGCCGCCCATCGCGGCTACGGTCGTCCCGGCGGTCTTATCAGCCGTCTCGGCGCCCATAATCATCACGGCGCTGTGGGGCGCAAGACCTGCTCTGGAAAAAGCACTCTCTCCACGAGGAAGGGCGCTCGTCACGCCCACAGCGGCCACGGTCACGGTCGTCGTCTCTTCTGTCGCGGTCGTGGTCGCGGTCGTGGCTGCATGGCGTCTCTCAGCCGCCTCCGTTCTGTCCCGCATCTTGGATTCACCGTCGATGACCCCATAGCGAAAGGTGAACTGATGCGTCGGGGGTGAAATCCTCAACCAGGTGAGGTGAACCAGGACGCGCCGCTTGAGCCCACGCCGGCCAACAGCAGCGCTTGGGTCGTTGCTGTAGCCCGCCGACTGGTTGTTGGTGACCGTCAGCCGGAGAACCTTGGGGATGGCAGAGGGGTTGGCAGACCATGCCCAGAGGTCGAGGGAGGAGGAGTCTTCTCTCTTGACCGTGGCGACGTCGAAGTAGTGCAGGAATGTGTCAGGGCCTAGCACTTGCGTTGCCACCTCGTCGCACCATGCGTTGAGCGGCAGATTTTCGATGCACAGGTGAACGTGGTAGTACGCCTCCACCAGTACCTATTAATCATGGTGCTCAGAAGCAGGTGACCAACATCAGGAGCTCTTCCACATATCTAAATTCTTCTAAGTGACCTTCTTGTTCAGCATAGCATTGTGCATACCCTCAAAAAAAAAACATAGCATTGTGCAGCATGGCTAAGAACCCCACCACATGGATAAGAAATAGGCATGGGAAAGTGGGTCCCCTGGCAAAGCCTCTTTGGGGTGTGAATGTCTCGGTAATAACATCTCCATTCACTTTGACACGGCATTTGACAATGAAAATGCACTTCATTATCAATATCAAGTTGATCCACGCTCCGTCGAAATAACTATAGTATTTCCTCTGTAAAGAAATATAAGAGCGTTTAGATTACTAAAGTAGTGATCTAAACACTCTTATACTTAGGAATAACTGACATCTCATTATGGAGCAAGTGGTGTTTCAGTTATTCCAAACAAAGTTCCGGTAGAGAGCTTGGAAGCTTCCTTGGATCGACCCACTAGCTTGAAGACCCAATTAAGTATCCACAAAAAAAGTATCCACCCAATGTTCAAGTGTTTCATTCTGCTGATCGAGTATGCACGAGCACCTGTTGGCGAAAAATCGTCGGCATAATTCAGCCTCATGGATGA